AAAAAAAAAAAAAAACATCAACAATAATAATAAGAAAATTTTATAACCTATATTTACTTTAATCATTAAAAATTAAGTAAAAGTTCCAATTTATACAAAACATTAAAATCTTCTAATTAACATTCCAATATTGTTAATAAACATAGATGTAAATTTGAGTAAATTTCTATGAAATATTAAAAAAAAGAACTTTAAATTATGTTTTCGTTATGGTTGAATATATTAGAAAATCCGATTTGACGGACAGGAAGTTTATTATTTCTTTTTTTCAAAACAAAATAGGGGAAAATACCGGTTTTTCTACGTCAAAAACTAATTACGGTGAGATGACGGGCGAATCGCGCTCTAACGTCAATATTTGTAGTTTGCGGAAAACGCCGGGAAACGGTTATTTTTCGAAAAAATAAATTGAAAATGTTTAAATCGTATTAAATTTAGATCTGATTTCATCTTCAATTCAAACTAACCTCGTTCGAATTGGAAATAATTTCCTCACTTACCGTTCTTCTATTTATGTCAATCTGACAGTGACATTATCTAATTTTTAAATCAATTTAATTATGTTTTAAACTACGCGACTTTTTGGACATAAAAAGTTTCTGCGACGCCCGAAGAATGGGTATGTGAAGAAAAACAACCAGGATTGAAATGTTATTAATTTTTTGCGACTCTCAAATATTTTATACGAATCACACTTTGAGAATCAAAATCAAAAGTTCCGAAATGTTCGTTACGTAACTTTTCCCTGTTACGTAACGTTTTTTCGATTATTTTCCAGAGGTTGGGTTAGGTTTGATGTTAGGTTAGGTTAGAGATCAGTGTGAATTTCTTCGACAACCCCTTAAGATAATTACATCATCGATCACACGTATGAAAGCTAAATGTCTCATCTTTCCAACGAGCCTCTTCGTACTGTCGTCGAGTCGACTGCTATGAGTAGTAGAAATTGAAAAAACAGAGAAACAACGTTTTTTTTTCAGTGTTTACGTAAACTTGTATGAAAGCTGAATGTCTCACCTTTCCAACGAGCCTATTGGCATCTTCGTACTGTTGTCGAGCCTGCTACGAGCTGTAGAAATTGGAAAAAAAAGTGAATAGGATTTTCTTAAAAATCGCTCTGTCGTTGAGATCCCAAGAGTTCCACGTTTTTCTTAATTACACAAAAATTACGAAACATTTTTTTTGCATTTCATGATTGCGTAAGATGGGCGCCACCCTTACGCATCTTTTTATGAAATAAAAGTTTCGTAATGTTCGTTACGTAACAGGGAAAAGACGTTTTTTTTCAGATTTTCTTAAATTTCTCGACAACCCTTTAAGATTATCGACCACTCAATTCAAAGCTGAATTCCTCAACTATCCAACGAAACTATTGGTATCTTCGTGCTACCACGCGACCCCCTTTTGGACATAAAAAGTTTCTGCGACCCTCCGAAGATATGTGTAGAAAAACAACCAAGATTGAAACGAATGTTAAAGACTGAAGTCACAGAAATACTTAAATTGAAGCAATCTTAAATTACATTAATTGTGAAATGATGAAAATATAAACACATTTTGATGTTGAACCAACATATTTAAAACAGCCCATTGCATTAGCAATTCAAAATCATCGTGATCGTAATACCCTGCTTTGGTTTACTAATTTCTGGTGAAGTGCCTATAACTTTTAAATAATTGGAATTTTCAGTTTACATTAAAGCTAAGCTATTTTTATTTTATCCAAAATATGTGTATTACAGCTAAATATAACCCGGTGCAATTTTGCGAAAAAAAAATACGAACATAATTATATCAAGGTTAAAGTGTTTCTATAGGAATTTTGAATAGAAAAATGAAATAAATAAAACAAAATATGTAACATATTAAATAATGAAAGTTAATTAAGTAAGTTAGTACTGTGTTTTTACAAGGTTTCAAGATTAGTCTAATTGGTGCAAGTACATTTTCGAAAAGATGTTTGATGTTATTTCAAAGACGTCACGATTAGGTATTGAAGAAACGATATGCACATGTGTCGATTCGTTTTTGTTCGTAAGAATTGAATGAAACATTTTCGGCCGACTGTGTTTACGTAAATGTAAAAGTGTAGGAATCTGGAAGATGGTGAGATTTTGTTCCTAGAAGCTTTCAGTGTTCGTCGGATGAAACGGAAAGGTGGATGTGATATGTGTAATAACCGATGGCAAGTCTAGCAGCGTCTATTGTTTATCAATATTTACGCGGTGCGTGAATACCGTTTGATCGGCGGCCAAAAGGTAATTTGGAAAAGAAGAAATTGTATCTTTACATCTCTTTCTACCATCGTCCCACGGCAGAATATAACTAATAAACTAAACAAAATAAGACGAGGAGTAAAAGGAGAGGAAGAACAAATCGAGCAAAGTGAACTAATTTCCTATTACGTAAAAACTGGGGAAACCGCAAATGTTGGTGGAGAGGTGGTGGGGCCTGGAAGGAAACGGGGTTTTTAAGGAAGGTTTTGCTGAGCGAGTGAGTGGGGGAGGGGGGTTTCTGATTCGGAGGTGGGGCAATAAAATCTAAACTTTATATAAGTAATCTCAGTTTGAACAAAACCAGACAGCCTTGTTTAAAATAAAAAATCAACCGCCACTGGATTTAAAATAATCAAATAATTTTAGTATAAATAAACATTGGATCGAACTTAATCTTCCAGTCCGGAGTGGTTCTCGTCGCTGGTTCTGCTCTCAGCGCGCGCGTCTGTGAAGCTCTCGAGGAGATGGTGCGGTGGTCGTCTTCGTACCTTTCGGTGTTTCTGGCGTTGTTGGTGATGCTTGTGCTTCAGACTGCTGCGATCGGAAGACCGAGGTTGGGCTCGAAGAGACCCGCCAGACCGCTGGTGATGAACGAGATCAGCGAATCGGCGCCCGACAACCTTGTGCTAGCCAAGATGCCCGCAATCGTCAACTCCGATAAGTACTTCAATATCAAGTCGACGAAGAGGCGCCTCAAAGCCAACGTTAACCCAATCAGTGGTAAGTCTCTGCTGTCATTGCATCCGCACGTACGTACGTACGTCCGTCCGAACTTATCAATTATCTCTTCTCGAACGCAGAAGACTGCAAATCGCAGACGTTCAAGGAAGAGCTCAACTTGCTTCGAAGTAAGGTCAAGTGCAAACCCAGGCTGGTCGTCGTACATCTGGAGAGCACCACCACAAGCACGGTACATCAACGTTAAAAACTAACTTACTTTCGCAAGTATTACACGTAATACTTGCGAAAGTATCGCGCTTTTCCTTAAAACCGAAACATATTTTAAACTAATTCAATAATCACTTACCAAAACAATTCTATTCACATAATTCTCTCTAAATTAGGTTTGCTTTTTTTTTTGTCAAATTTGTTCATCGCTTTTCCTTAAATAAGCATGCCGTGTTGGCATTTCTACCAACTTAAATCATATAACTGTAATCTGCAAGGTAACTTGATGAAGTTATTTAGTCATGTAGTGAGAGTAGAATCTGATCGCTAATTCGATTGCAGTTGATGCCGAACTCGGTGCTGGTGAAGAGGTGCGACGGTATGTGCTCCAGCACCCACAAGTGCATTGCCAATGTCACCAGAGATCAGATATTCTATGTGCGCGAAATCAAGAACAACCTCGTCTCGTGCTCATCCGTTATCGTCTCTGAGGACGTAAGCTGCACCTGCGACTGCCCACAGCGCGCCACCGACTGCAAGGTCAACCAGGACTACGACAAGGACAGGTGCAGGTGCATCTGCAAGAACGAAGTATGTTAACAACAACAACAACAATATCAACTTTACCTAACTTATTTGACTTTCACGTCATTTTGACAGTTCAATTTTGACAGATGGATAAATAGTGTAGACGTGGCAAATTTATTGTGAATTTCTTGCCAAACGTCAAGTTTTGACATTAGTTAATTCAATTTTTTTTGACGCAATACTACAAAATTTTTGGAATGCTTACCTTAATTGCTTAAATATTTGCAGAAAGACTATGAGAAGTGTCACGATAAACGAAAGAAACGAAACATGTACTACTGGGATGACAAGGAATGCTCGTGTTTTTGCTTGAAGGAGAAAGTTTGTACGACGGGCACCGTCTGGAACAGGAAACATTGCAGGTAAAAGGATGCAAAAAAAAAATTAATCAAACTAACATGTTCAATTTTGTCTTCAGATGCATCTCCGAGAGCCAACCGTAACATACAGTTATTATTATTATTAAACATTTTCGATAACATTAGAACTAATAAATTATAAACAAAAAACAAGTATCGCTTAAATGTAATCTCCGAAGTTCGTCCAAACGTTCGACCAATATTTCGGATCTCCTCGAAGATCTAACGGTAAATTTCCGGGTGATAAAGCAGTCCTGTTGTATTGCTCCAAACTAGATAGGAGATGTCTCAAGATGTTAGGATATCTAAGAAAAATTTAATTAAGGATAGTTTGATCTCGTTGAAATCGCAAATTACTCTAATGCCAAGTTGTTGCGCTCGCACGGATCGTCCTTGAGGTAGAACAGGCATGGTGATTCCAAAGGCCAGCAAGGCGTCTCCTTCGCAACTTTCGGACATTTAACATCAGCCTGTGAACGTAATCTCATCACTTCCTCTGGATTTAAACCTCTCCCCAATTTTTCCAAAACTATCCCTGTTTCGCTATTCTGGATTTTCCGAACGTCGTATGAACCTCCACGTCCGCTCGGTCCGTACCAATTATCCCATTCACCCTCATAATTTGTACCTAACATAAAATAATACTATAATTGCGGCATTTGTCAAACGTCAAATTTTGACGTTGGTCAATTGATAATATTGTTGACATACTAAAACAAAATTATAATAAAATAAGACTTTAATTATTAAATACTTAATTTAGTAACTGATATTTTTTTTTTATCAAAAACAATAAAAATCAAAATGTTTTGCGGTTTATTTGCCGCAGATTATCAGTATTCTTTGTAATGATAATAATGTGGCGGACTTAATTGGTTATATTTTATCTGTAATTATAAATATTTGATTAGGAAATATTCTAACTTATTCTATATTATATCAAACATACCAAAGTTTTCACTTTAATTAAGAAAAGATATTTTTCGATTTAAATAGGCGTAATACTTTTTAGATAGGAAATAATTGTATTTTTTTTTTAATAAATTATTAATGTTAACCATTTATATACTAACCTTTGATCAATTTCCAATCTCCGGTGACGATGGAGGAACTGCCGTAAATATCATCAATGTTGTGGAGTATAGTTTCTCTTTTGGAATCTCTATCGTTGGACAATTCGTTCCAAAGATCAAAACCATCAAGTCGATGTAAATCGCTGCGGAATTAGGTAATTTGTAAGTATTTCTTTGAGTGTAGTTTAATTTTACTTGGGATTTCCGCCTGCCAAAGAATACAATGTGGGTAACCAATCTGTGATGTGCATCATCTGATGAGCCACCCTCTTAGGTTTATCAAGAAGCGGACTCCAGAGGAATCCTGCAGCCCGTATACCGCCCTCCCAGAGCGTGTTCTTAACGCCCTTCAAAGGCCAATTCGAAGCGGCGTTTAAATTAAATCCTGCTGCAGGACCGCCGTTGTCGCTCGAGAAGATGATCACACTATCCTCCAGCATTCCGTTCTTCTCCAAAGCCTTTACCACCTTCCCCACGGACTCATCCACTTTGGTCATCATAGCTTAAAGCATTAGAGTGTAAATTTTGGGTAATCCAAGAGTAAATTAAGTGCGTACCTGCGAATTTTCCGCGTTCGTAGCTAGAGATGTTCAGAAAGTTGGCAACCAACGCATCAGGAGCGGCGAGCGGGTTGTAGGGATTCCCGGAATGAACCGCGTTATGGGCCAAGTACAGGAAAAGCGGTTTCGTTCTATTGTGCTCTTCTATCAATTTCGTGGCTTCGTTGGTGTACAGATCCGTGACGTAGACTCCGTGGAGGTCAGAAGCCACTTCAAGATTCCTCCTCATATCTAAACCCCAGCCAGGTTTCTCCTGCGCGGTGTGATCGTTGTAATCAATATGTCCGGTCCAGCAACCTACGGAACATCATCAAAGTATAATTGAAAGTATACGCTTTTTAATTAATAACATTTACCCAAATGGGAATCGAAACCGCGATAGGTTGGGGTGAAAACGCGTTTGTATGATCCGAGGTGCCATTTTCCGACCATCCTGTTCACGTAGCCCAGATCTTTCAAGTATTCCGGCAGAAGTTTCTCGGTTAGGGGAAGTCCCCTGGGTTCAGCGCCGTAGAGCACTGTGTGTTGCATACCGGTGTGTATGGGGTATTTTCCGGTCATAAGGGCACTCCTCGAAGGCGTGCAGATCGGTTCAACGTAATAGTTGTTCAGAATTAGACCGGAGTAGGCAAGGGCATCGATGTTGGGAGTCGGAATCTCATCAGAACCATGGAAACCAACATCGTTCCAACCCTAAAACAAAAATAAAAAATTTATACTTTCAAACATTTTTTTTTAGAAATATTTCAACATCTAGTATAATGTTAGATTCAATTTATAAAATTAACACTTTAAGTGCACTGTTTAACATTGTGTGTTTAACAGTCTATTTATAATGTATGAAAGAAAACAAGTGAAATGTTTTTGAAACAAAGGAATTGCAACCGCATTGCCTCTGGCGTAAATCAAATGGACATGGAAGAGGAATTGCTTTCAAGAGAATTTCATTGAAAATACGGTATTATGCACTCTGTTGGTTTAATCTTATTTTGTCGCTGACGGAATCGATGAATTATTCATGAATTCGTGAGCGAACTTGAGTTTACCAATCTTAATCTAACATGATAATACTAGAAATTAAATGTAACAAACAAAGTAAACAGCTTACTTAATCTAAATTGTTTTATTTGAACAAAAAGAAAATCGTTCGTTGTATAATGCATGAAAAAAGAAAAATACGAAAAACATTTAAATTGCAGACAATTAGAACGTGCGCAAGTCCTTCGCATTTAGAAACGCATTAATTTATTTCTTTTATTCTAGAAAATGAATCAAATCGTTTTGTAAAGAAAGAATCTTTTGTTGTTGAAACTGGTTTGATTTCGTGGAACTCTTCTTGAAGAAACGTCGAAGTGGCGGAGAAGAAAAAGCCGACTTGTTATTGTTCGCTTGCATAAACAAATCGCTTCATGTTAACCAGAAGCACGGATTTCAGGAGGAGAGGAGCGATTCGTGTATTAAAAGCGAAAAGAAAAAAAGAAATGAAAACCGCTGTTATCGTTATGAATTCGTTTCCAGATGAAAAGAATGGGGAAAAAAAAAGAAACTTTACCAGATCATCGGCCATGATGAAGACGATGTGCGGTCTTCGGGGATGCGCGCTTCCGAACGCCAAAAGAACAAGGAACAAGCGGAGCGTTCTTTTCATGTTATCGTGATTTGTTTTGGAAATAAAAGATTGTTGTTGTTGTTGTGTGATTCTCGTGTTGCTACTGAAAAGACCTGCCGTTGACTGAAAGTGATGTTGTGTGGAGGAGGTGGAGAGTCCGGCCCGGCGTTCCCCGTTATCCGTCTTGAAAACAGCGGACGATCGAGACATTTGAATAACGTCGCTGCCAACGCACTCGACCTCAGACAATTACGATTCTGATTAATGTTAATCGAGTTTCCGCACTAGACTGCGTTGCGCACGTGGATTAGATATGCAAATACAGGATTAGGAATTCAAATGTTTTCAACAATCTTCAACAAACGGTTGAAACAAAACACGAATAGAATGAAAACAAAAGAAAATACACTTAATAATTTTGTTACATTTATTTAAAAAAAAATTGCAATATTAGAATTTATCTAAACTGAAAAAATTGATCTAAACTGAAATTTGATTAACTTCATGTCGATTTTTATATGAATGACGATAATTTCTGACCATTTATGAATCAATATTGTGAAAACATTGAAAGTTGTGAATGGAATTAATTAATTCATCAAGTATCGATGAGATGTAAAATGAATGAAACGTCAACGTCATTAAATGTGCTTTGTGTGTTGCATACGTAATAGATAATTAAACGATTTTCGGTTCATTCATTATATGTAATAATTACACAATTGAATAATGGATTAATTATTAAATTGAATTCGATTTACGTGTGTCTAATGTGTTGTATAAGTTGATCGAGCATTTGTTTTTAAGTAAATTAGTAATAATGAGTATTGTTTAATAAACAAATGTTTATAAAATGTTTTCAAATACTACTGGTTTGTTAAATATGTTGCATAAGTTAATTTGGTTTATGAATTAATTTATGAACAATTGAATGATAGCATAATAAAATAAAGGAAACTAGATTATAATAATGTAAAAAAAAGAATAAAAGCTTGTTTCAGATAAATCATGCAATCCCCTTGTAAAGAAATAAATCTGTGTTTTCTTGTATGAATATTGGATGGGATTATGTAAATTTAACAAAATGTATTTGATTTTGGGGGGGTGTACGGAAGGAAGGAAACAGTGGAGCATCGATCCAAATCCATATGACTGTGGACCTATCGCAACGTGCGGTGCGGTGTGGCTGCTGCAGCCCCGGATCTATTGTATTTCAGAGCGGATCCGGGTCGTCTCTTCATCGCGCACAGCTGCAGCAACATCCAATTATACCTGTTGAAGCTTCGTGGAGGATCTGCGACGGTCCCTCTTTTCAAGCACCAATTGCTGCGCCGCCCGATAAATCCATAGAAGACCCAGGAGGGTCCATCTATCCGACATTCCTTCCCACCCGCAGTCGCCAACAATTTGCGCTCGGAAAACGATCGTCGTTCCGTGAAAAAAACAACAAAAAAACAACAACAATAAAAACTGCATTACTATGATTAGCGCAAAGTCGTAATTGTGCGATCACTGAGTCACTGTTTCGGTGGAAAGTGGGTGATAAGAAGTAGAAAATGGGAGAAAAATAATATTATTTTATTTTTTACAATTTTTAGTTGAAATAGAAAGACCAGACCAGTTTCGCGATGGCAGCGATGTGGGATAAATGTTTGCTGCTGATTTCGTGTTTCGCGATACATCTGAGAAGCGGTTTCGTCGATGGACAGGAGTTTCACAGTTCCATCGATCCGGATGCCTATTTGTCAACTGTAAGAAACGATGCTGTTAACATTATTATCTTGTCGCATTCAAATTTCCCTCGCTTTAATTCCCGAATCAATTAAAGCCTCAAATCATTCGTCGCCATGGATATGAGGCGGAATCCCACATAATTCAGACGGACGACGGATACCTATTGACCCTCCACAGGATTCCCACGAATCGTCTAGGAATCCGTGGAAAACAACCGATCTTCATACAGCACGGTCTTCTCTCGAGCAGCACGGATTGGGTCGATTCCGGCAACAATTCTCTCGGTAAAATGTTTATCTGTTAAAATTACTGCACGCGGCGGACTTTAGACTTTTTGTTTTATTATTATTCGTGTTTACAATCAAACTATGATTCACGCTCACTTAGTTTCTTTTTTTTTTTAAACCTGGCGATTACATAATTTGTTTGTTTTTAAAACTAAGTTTGTCTTCTGCAGCTTTCATTTTGGCCAACGACGGGTACGATGTTTGGCTTGGCAACGTCAGAGGTAACACCTATTCGAAGGGTCACGTTACGCTCTCACCAAAGGATGCCAAATTTTGGAATTTTAGGTATATTTACAAAAAAATCGCATTATTTTTTTTACTAAAAATGAATAATAATTATCGAAAATTTCAGTTGGCACGATATGGCTCTGCACGATCTTCCAGCGATGATCAATCACATCTCGAACATCACCAATAGACCTGGCGAGATCCTCTACATCGGTCACTCGATGGGAACGACGATGTTCTACGCTTTGGCTTCTGAGAGACCGCAAATCGCGCAGAGTATCAGAGCTATGGTAGCCTTGGCTCCTGTAGTCTACATGACCCACATCAAGTCACCCATTCGTTACCTAGCACCGTGGATAAACGATATACAAGTACGAAATCCACGCACTCTGGATTACAACAATTCAAAAACGTTTTCTTTCAGTTTCTAGTCAAACATTTAGGCATGAACCAGTTCTTGCCGAGCAGCAAAATCCTGAAATTCCTTTCCTACGATTGCGAGAAGAAACTGAAAAAGGAAATTTGCGAGGACGTCTTTTTCATCCTGTGCGGCTTCGACAAACAACAGTTCAACGATGTAATAATTCTATTTCTCAATGATCCATCCCTACACATTTGTATTGTAAACGAAATTTTCTTATCGGTAGACTTTGCTTCCGGTGATTTTGAGTCACGTTCCAGCGGGAACCTCCACCAAAACCGTGATACATTATTTGCAAGAGATCGCCAACGAAGGTAAATTCCAAAAGTTCGATTACGGCAAGAACGGAAACATGAAGGAATACGGACAATCTTATCCACCGCTCTACAAGCTCAACAACGTCGACGTTCCAATGTTCCTGATGTACGCCGAGAACGATTGGCTCGCCAGCCCAATAGTAAATCATTAAATATCACCATGACAACTATCATTTTTTGACATTGACACTTCTTTATAGGACGTGAAACGATTGGCCGAGAATCTTACAAACACCAATTACGAGATGTACAAGATTCCATTGGACACGTTCAATCACGTGGACTTCCTTTGGGGCATCGACGCTCCTCGTCTCGTCTACGGCCCGATGATGGACTACTTAAGAACTTATCCATTGTACTATGTAGCCGAATGAGAAATCCATAATACTAAATTATAATCTTCCCCAATAATCCTAATTAGAAACTGCATGGTATTGAGATGAGTATAATAATAATCGGTGTAACCACGCCCTCTAGTAACAATCGGCAATAGCAACGTAATAATATCCTTCCCTGTATGTATCGGAATATTGTATTGAAAACTTCCTAAACAAATAAACAAGACGATAGTCTTACCAAGTAATATAACCGTTTATTTATTTAATAATATGATCTGGGCTACTTAATACGTCGACCGACGTTTCTATTGGTCAATGTCAGCCGCCATTTAAAGCATTCACCAATTAAGATGAGCGTCTCCTTGGCGACCAATCAAATATTAGATATGGATTTAAATTATTTATTTTAAAATGTTACACAAGTCTTTTTTTCTTTAAATATTAACTACGAAATATTATCTTCATTTATTTAGCGTTTCATTCATATGCAACGCTTCCTGTTCCAGCATCACCTTCGTAATCTTGTACTTGGTTTCGGCCTGTCTGCCGGGTGAAAACGTCTTCGTTAATTTCGCATGTCCCTTGAAAATCATGTCTATCGATTTCGAACTGAGCTTTTTGCTCCTGCGATATTCTTTCTCCTCGCTGCTCAATGTGCGCATTTTTCGCTTCCTCTTCCTGGTGAAGCTCATGAGAGCTTCAAAAATTGCTTCCTTCGCTTGGGAATCTGAGCTTTCACTCCATACACTCGAATCAGATGAATCATCTGTGTCAGAATCACCTTTCGTTTCATCATCATCATCTTCGGATTTGTAATTTTCGGCCAATATGAATGGTTCGAGGAATTCCATGGACGACAGCCATTTACAATTATTTTGCTCGTTCTCTTCGCTTTTCATTGCTTCGACATATTTTCCGTACGTTACTATCAAATAATCCCATTTCTCCTTTAAGTCTTCACCTATGGAAAATAAAAATAATTTAGATAAGAATTCACAATAATATTCTTTGATTTGTAAACTCACTGTTTTCATTCAACTCCGAAGCCATCTTCTCCCAAATCTTCTCCTTTTTACTCTCATCTCTGTAATCTTTGTGTTCGCCATCATACAATATCGGATAATCTTTCACTGCTTTTATCAATTTCTCCGTTAAACACGACATGTTCTATATTTTCGAAGACCGGTTGTATTAAACTATCGAAACTATCCACCTCAGGTCGTAAACATCAAGCACCCATTGAAAACAAAATAAACCCCCACCTACGTTGCTTAATTTTACTAGCGCGTTCTCTGTGAACATTTACAGAAAATAGTAATTAGCTTTTGCAACGAGAGATGGCGTCTCGTGTACCGAAACGGAACAATTTATGGAATTGAGACTTCGGCGATATCAAATTTAAACAAAACTAGTTCTGAATATGTGAGGTGTGCGTCTGCAGCATACGAAGAAATACAAAGAACAGGTGAGTGGATGATTTCGTAACGTGACCCCAATTACCGAGTGGTACAAAGAAACAAAAAGCGCAACAATCGGAAAGGGAACTGCAGCAGCAAGAATATTAAATGAAATAAAAACAAATAAATATAAAAGCGAGAAATGATTGATTGAATTATAAATATTAGTTTGCGAATTTCGAATGCCTTTTGAATGGAGCGAAAAGAGAAATGGCGAATGCTGGCGATGGAACAACAACAACAAGTTCAAGGTTCGCAAGGTGCACGGATACGGTACCAAGCGGTACCACTTTCCCGACGACGACGCGATTTCTAAACCCGACATTATCAATGTGAACTCACGTATTTTCCGTACTTCGCCTCGCTTTTGCTTATTTTCTCATTGGAAGAAAAAAAAAACACACACAAAAACCAACAGTTTTATTTATACAGGATATACAAACGATTTGTTTCTATTGGATCACCATCAATATTCTCAGCTAATTAGAATCCAAGATTGTTTAATTACTGCCGAAACGTCATTTCTTTCAACCAATTGGAATATAGTTTTTTTTTGGTTATTGACCAATTAGAAAGTTGAATAAATAAACAAAGTTTAGAAATTGTGTTTTAAGGTAAAATAAAATAAACTTTAAATTTTCTAACATGTTTATGAAAAATGTAAATGTGAATTAGAATTTAGTATAATAACTTGTTGCATTTGTTAATTTATCATAAGAAAACATGAAAAATAACGGATTTTGCATTTAACAGGTAGGCTGTGCATGCGCTTTGTTTCTATTGGTGCAACGTTAACGCCATTAATATAATCGGCCAATTAGATTCCACGATTGTCTCGAAGCGTCCATTTGCAGCCTTATGGGAGGATGTGCAGTTTTTTTTTTGTGTTTCTCAGACGCGTATCAAATCTTATTATTTAAAACTCTAAAGAAATTTGTTATAAATCCAAAAAATTAATATTCCTAAAAGTACGTAGAAACGAGTTTTCGAAAAGCGTATTGTAAATTAGTAATGGTAATAACTTGTTAATTGGCAGTGCCGTTAATTGAAACGTGATGAGTTGAGAAATTCCGCGTGCCAAAATGTAAACATTCAACGTGTAAATAAATACAACACACACTTTGTTATATTCATATATTTTTTTTGGATCTCGTTTGTTTCGTTTTTTGTTTATATTTCTATTTCGAAGTTGGTAGCAAGAAATGCTACGGTCTCCTTGATCCTTAATGAATTCCGGACGCGTCGCATCGTGTTATTAATTTATTTGTTGCATCGTTTTAACAGGAACACAATGGATATTAACAATCGTACCGAAAGCGTTCACATTCGTCGTCGTTAACAAACGTTCTCTCCTTATATATTCATGCGCATTCATTACTTCGTCCGTTCCCATAACATTTTGTTTGTTTCTTCTTTTTTTTTTCATAACTGCGATCTTTCATTATATAACGCACACTCCAATTTAGGTTCAGTTTCTACAGCTTTTCTTTTTACGAAATGATTCTCACCATTACTCTTCGCCTTTGCAAAACAAAACGCATTACAGAATTACAACTTTGACTAAATCAGTTCAGATCATGTCTGTTATTAATTTACATTATTTATTAATTGAATTATGATTGAATCATAGAAATTATTTAAGTCACTTTTAGATGACAAATTTTTAATGTTCTCATTGAAATTCCATTGATTTTGTTGTAATTCGACTGAATGAAGTGATTCATTGAA